TGATTTGAACTTTCAGGCGTTTATTTAAAAGAAACTAAACTTAGAATAAATTTTGTTCTATCTGTTATTCGATGGTCGAATGTATCGCCTATATAAAAGAAAAAAACAGATAAAATGCGCGCATGGAAAGGAGAAAAGAGAGAAGAAAAAAAGTGACAGAACAGAAAAACAGCCTAAATTCACTATAAGAAATCGTAGAGACTGTGGCGACACATGAAAAACTCAAGATGTAATTATAAGAAGCCCACTGTCGGATTCGCCCTGAAATTCTGCATATACCACCTTAGTTTCATAAAGTTTGATCCGGCGCGGAGCTTGCACCTAATTTTCTAATGTTTAGCGCATGGAAATTTTTATTTTGTACAAGCTTCTTTGTGACAAAATCACGTTTTACGTAGAATGTGGTACTCCGAAAATAATGACTGATGTTTGCTCCCTAGCTGCAATACCTTATTTTATAGAAAAAGCTTACTCTACTTAGAACTGACGCAAAGGATAACAGCGATAGTTTTCTGATTGGTTACCGTTCAAACTATTGTGTTTTTGACCTTTTAAATATTACCCATGTACTAAAAATCGCATAAAAATCGATTCCATAGATAAATAGACTAAATTGTCCTCTATAAAACAGAACCAATCTTTTCCAGGACCGTTTTGTTTAACAGTTTTTTCTAAATCTTACATGTAAAATCTTGCTCATTTAATTCCATCAGAATTACACATGGGATCGAAGAAACACAAGTTTTTACACAATTTAATTGAATAATCTTTTCCTCTCCTCTTCTGACTAACTCAAATTTCATTCTAAGTCAAAACCTTTCTCTTAAGCAGAAACTTGTGTGCATGAATGTTTGTTATTAGTTTCAGTTCTTCTTTACAATACATTACGTTACAAATGAGTCAGGTTAACACATAGATACGCTTTCACATGATTCGCACATCTTTCCATACTTTCTGTACACGTGACTTCATCTCATCATGATGTTTTGCTAACACGATGAGTGACGCTGTGTCTTTCTTTTCTCATGTATCAAGAATGCCTTGAAAACGTCGACCTTCAATTGAATTTGCGCTCGTTCTGTATCATATGAAAATTTGCCAAAAAAACAAATAGAAGAAAAGAAACTGGCAATGAGACCGTCCCATATGGTATCAATCGTGTTGACCACGAATTGGATTGTCAACTCGTTAGCGGACGTTACAGGCATTTACCTTATTTTAATGGAAATAGCTTAAAATTGGGACAGGGACGTTACGGTTGCCAGCTCCAGAATTTGAAATTACGGATTACTTATTATAAGTTACGCGCGTGCCGACTGCTTACTTCTGCTAAGAAAGGAAAACTTCGCTTTGCATTTACTTCCCTAAAGTGGAAGAATAGCCAGCCTATAGGCTATGACTGTTTGCTAGTCTATACATTGCCACATAGACTAGCAAACAGTCATCCTCGCTCGGACCTCTGGTGAGAGCTTAATCTTGATCGTCATCTAGCCCAGTAGTTAAGAATCGATTCGAGGGCTAAACTGAGGAGTTTCATTTGTAGACACCAACTTGGGATCAAGCTTTTGTCCTAAATCACAACTAACTATCCTTTTTTTATTTATTTTATCTAACCCACCACCCTACACAGAAGAAAGTAGTATAGTAGCTAATATTCTTTTGTCATCATCATTAGAGTTTGTTTATTATTTTTGTCCTTGTCCTGCTGGTGGGGTTATTGGATTTGTACCAGCCATATGTTCAGCAATTCTTTTAACAATTTGAACAGCTTGTGCTAATTGTTGTCTAAATAATTGTTCTTGGTCAGCTTCGGAATGACCATCTAATGGCTCCCATCGTATCTGATATTCTAATTCAGTTTGTTTTGGATCATCTTTTGCACGACGAACCCAGTTAACAACCTCTCCTTTATATTTTGGATGTTTTTCCAATATATATGTTACTTTCCCAATACCGGGCGAATCATCGTCATCCCATGTAATACGCTCACGTATTGAACCTAGATCACCTAATGTCATTTCTCGAATAATATATTCCGAAGTATTTTCAACTAAAACAACATTTGAAACACCTGGTGTATAATTTGATGGATGTTCGATTTTATCTAACATTAATTTCCAAACTGTTAAAAATGTTGCATTAATCTTTTCTGTATGCTCAATATTCGGCATCTTTTGATTTGTATTCTAGGAGAAGATTGGATACTGTACGATAATATTTAGTTTTTCTTATCTTCACGTTTAGTACAAATATATAGAAGCAACCGCTGATCAGAAAAACAAAAGAGCAGTAAGTGAATATGATACATTTTCTTTCCACCTACTGCGGCACTCAACCGTATCAATAACGTCATGATCGCAATAAGTAGTTAATAACGTCCTTGTTACTAATGCAAAGTCCTTTCTAGAAGTGAACTGTATAGTCCAAAAATGAAGAGAAGTGAAGCATTCAAAAGGAAAAACTGAATCTCTTAATTATAACAAGTGTAATCTGGGGACTAGTGGATAGATTATAAAAATTTTCCTTTCTTGTAAACGTATGCGAATAAAGGGGAAACAAAATTTAAATAGTAATTAATCGTGATTATTTACTGAGGCATGGCATAGTAGCTCTCTCACATTAGTACAATAATTTATTAAGGTAGATTATACATAAAATAAAATACAGATAATACGATTTTCCACTACACATATAGACAAAACAAAAGGTAGGAATATGGGCTTTATTAACTGAATTTTTATCGATTTGAATGTGCGATAAATACCGAATTAATCCATCATACTAGCCTAGCTTACAAATTATTTTGCTAAAAACCTGACCTGTAGATCTCACGCATTTTTTTAATATTTTATACGAGATTTTTAATCTTATCTTTATATTCCAATATTAATAAATGTTCTTCAGTTTTATTACTTTGGCATTTATATCGACATTTTTTTTTTAAGATAGATTCCGCTTTAAATCTATCTCAAAAATCCTAATGAAAATAGAAACTCTGTGTCATATCATGCCTCTCTGCTACTCATAATTCAATCAGACAGTATTAGTACAGAAGATCTAGTGCCATATCATGTTCTGTCTACAAAACAACTTGATTAAACGAAAAAAAATCCATTTGTTTGTTGTACAATCAGCATAAAACACACATTGTAATTAGAAAGGTGTTGCTGGCATTGTTACAAATTTCATCATTGCATATGATACTATCACAACCGAAGTCATATTTTATGCTTAATAAATTAGACAAACACTAAAAACATTAAAGATACAATAAAAATGTTTTCTTGACATGAAAGATTTTGTAGTATTGTTTGAAATGTCATAGCAGTTACAAAAGAAGACACTTTTTTGCTGAAAACTTAATATGGGCGCGCGATGGGATGCGACTTGGAGAAAAAATTAGAAAACACACTAGCTTGGAATGAGCGATAGTCCGTTCAAATGAACACTACGTTACATTTTCATCGCCAGACTCCTGCTTGGATTTGGATGTTTTTTACGAAAAAGATCATATTTTTGGGAAGTGTGTCATTCTCCCTCTCCCCTCCAAATAACTCCCTCCGTCACGATCATCCGAGGGAAGGGAATGAGAAGGATTTTTCAGGGCGTCAGAAATGAAATTAAGGGATTTTGTAAAAATTACTTTTCTCTAGCGGAAAGAAATAACCTTTCTTTGCTTTTCGAACAATACGACAAAGCATGGGGGTTAAGTGGATCAGAAAACGGCTCGTGTTTTTTTGCTCATTTTGACTTGATTTTGCAGAAAAGACATTTGTATACATTTTTTAGTAGTTCTTATGGAAAATAAGCTCAAAATACTTTTTAACATTGATTATTTTGAGATTCCACCAGAGGACGCCATTGTTAGAAAAAATAACACTTTTGTATAAACTATCTATTAAATTTATTGGACTGCCCATTTCTCTTAGGTATACGTCGCATAGTACGCACTGACTATTTTTTTCATTTAATGTTGCGCGGTGCGTCATTATTACATGATAGTGTGTTTAAAGGAGTTCTATATTGTGCGTTGCGTTTTCATAAGAGCAGTCCAGTTGTCCGAATATTAAATAGATTTAGCAAAGATCAACAAGTTGTAGATGAGCAGCTACCGTTCACGTTTTTTGACGGTGCTCACTTATTAATTATGCCTGTGGGCAACATTATCATTATCGGCATTGTTAATCCGTGGGTGTTGTTAATTTCAATACCACTTATTCCATCATTTACATGGCTAAGAATATTTTATTTGAGATCAAGTCTTAATTAGTAGATCAGAAATTATAAAAAAAAGTTCTGTTTATTCTCTATTTTCGTCATTACTTATGAGGGGACCTCGCGAACTGTCACTTCGCTTTTTCAGCCAAACCTGGTGGGTTATAGATTATCAACTATGCTGAATCCGAATGTCAGCTGCTCAGGGGCCTTCAGAGAGCGGTTGAAACTCTAAAAACTAACCAAAACCTTTCTTAATGATGCATTATTGTAGCCCGCAAATTTCTGATTAAAATGAGACTCGTCCTAGCTCTACATGACCTTTATTTACAAAGTTATTGAATTTACAAGAAAAGCCCTAAATGTTCATTGTCAGCTCAAAGCTACAGAAATAAGAAGAAATTAATTTGCACATAGCAGATAGATTCAAATAAAAGATTGAAGAAGAAAAAAATATAATGAAAAAGAAAGTCACTTTTCATTTAAATTCACGTATGAGACATGTTTCGAGTGGACTAGGAAGGCAACATTATCGCAAAATCGACTTTTTATACGCGGAACAAAATCTGTCCAAATTTTTTTTCTAAATAGCTTATTGACTGAATGTACGGGCAGCAAAGTATCTCTTTAATCAAATCACTTTTCGCATTTTGGCGTAAATAGTTGGCGCCACTGTTCGCGCCAAAATGCGAAAAGCGATTTGATTAAAGTTACTTTGCTGCCCGTACATTCAGTCAATAAGCTATTCAGAAAAAAATTTGAACCGATTCTGTTCCGCGTATAAAAAGTCGATTTTGCGATAATGAGGCTCGATTCCAAGCCTCAATGAAAGAATAGATAAAGCCCGGACTCGAATTCACCCTTTATAACATAGGACAGTAACACATGTACACAATAGAGGTATAGTACAGGTCTAAAGGGGATTCTCATCAAGCAGAGAAATATTTTTTCCTTGAGCGAAGAAATCGACTAAAGAATCGTGTTTCATTATAAGAAAAACACCCGTTTCCAACGAAGTTTTATTTTACAAGCGCTGAAAATCTTGAAAACTTTTCCGAACTTCCATTCCGGTTCTTATATATCTTAAGATAGTAGTTACCAAAATACCATCGAGCACTAGTAAATAAAAATTCTCAGAAAAAAATTACCATTTTAGAAAAACTGAATGCACGCGTTGCCATTTTCTTCGTTCCTTCGGTGCCGGGTTGCTGACACCCCCATATCGCCTTCAACCGGACATTCTTAAAGTGTGAACCCTTAAGAAAGTGGATGCAAACTCACGTGCATCTTTTATATTCACTGCTTTCGTGCAATGGTTTGGTTTGCGATTAAATCTAATGGCAAATGCAGTATAGTTTCTAACGGCTATTTTGTCTGCTGCATTACGTCATCGTATAGATTCAGCGTCAGCCTTTCTGGTATTGATGTATTGTGTCGCTCTGACAACAACGTTTCAGTGGTGTGTTCGTCAATCTGCAGAAACAGAACATTTTATGATAAGTACTGAAAGAATAAATGTGGAAGAATCTGACCGCAAGAATCTGACATTTGCAACGAGGAAAATAAGCCATCAGATAATTGCCCATCTAAAGGTAAAATAGAATTTAAAAACTATAGATTAAGATATCGTGCTGAGTCTGAATTAGTGCTAAAAGATATAAACATCAGTATAGAAGCTTGTGATAAAATAGGAATATATGGAACAAATAGGCGCGGGGAAATCATCTATAATACAAGCTCTGTTTCGCCTTGTTGATAAATCTATGGTCCAATACTTATCAATGAAATCGACATAAACGCCATAGGTTTAGATGATCTGTGAGTTCATCTAAATATCATACCACAAACAACAGTATTATCTGATAATACGATAAAAGGTAATTTATAATGGGCACCTGAAAACAAGGAGGCAAAGAGGTACTTTGAACACTACGAATGCCGACAGGGAAAATAGTCTGGGAACATCTGTGGCATTTCTCTTCTTAAAAGTTGACCTGAGAAAGGTTGGAAAGAATAATCTTGGTGACGATGGTGATGCCTAGTTACTGCGTCTTATCACAACAAGCACAGTGTCAAACAGTCTGCCCATGCGGCTCAATGTTCCCTGAGTATGGGAGACTATTGCTGATTAAAACAGTCACGGTGGATAACCAAAATCGTACTTTTCTTGCGGACATCCTTGATAAACGATGCATACGATATAATCTCGATCTGTTTATCCAACATGCGGCTAACCAACTATGGACAGCGCTATCTGTGGTCCAAATGAGCAATGTTATATCAGAACCGAAAATGGATTAAACACTCAAACTATGGAATATGGAAGTGATTTCAGCGTCGGAGAATGCCGAATAATATATGTGATCAGAGTTTTGCCGAAGCGAAGTAAAATTTTGTTAATCAATGAGACGACAGCAAATGGAGTTATGAATACGGACAGACTAATTCAAAAAGTTATTCGCGAACAATTTAATAAACACACCATTTTAACAATTGCACGTCGTTTACATACCATACAGGACAGTGATAAAATAGTTGTTATGAACGACGGAATGGTTCGCCAAGTGTTATTTTGGGAAATAAAGACCTTGTAACGTTGAATGATTTTGAAATATCTCAGAGGTGTCCATCTGTAGTTATGAGGAATGAAACATTTAACGTCGATGGAAAGTCAAATGGTATATTGGAAAATGAAGATAGAGCAGCTTTGAATAATTTGGAGAATGTCCAGGGCTTACCATCCTATGAAACCTTTCATGCTCAACCTTTTATACACAATACGTCAAATAAAAATTAACTTTGAGGTTTTAACAAAGTTTCATCTGAAAATAATAATACTAATACGAGAACCTTCAGCTAATTTTTCTGTAAAATTATGGCTGATTCTAATAGGCAACAAAATCATAAATTTCTTTCTCATTAGACCCTTATACGTAGAAATCCATGGTTTCCGAAG